ATTTAAGTCACAGAAACTCACTGCCAGTGTACTTAGTTTTAAGTCTCCATTAAGCTCTACTATTAATACTTTGAAGTTATAAGGAGAGTGTATCGCTGTTAAAGAATAGAAAAACACACCCCTACAAGGGAAATCAGCTCCGAAAACAACAAAGATAATACATTAAAATAGACATCCTCTCTATTTTGTGTATTTTTCCTGATCTGACTGGAAAGAGACTTCATTCCTAGGTGCCTTTTCCATTTATTTTCATTTTCTCAATGACAACATAAAAAATTAATAGGTGGTTTGGGCCTACGGCACTGTGGTAGGTGGAACAGACTCCATACACACTCTGCTGCTACTACCACTCTTGTTATTTCCTCATTACTCACTATAAGAAATAGCTCCAGGAGTGCTTAGCAACCCACTGCATCCAATCAACTAAAGATCACTAACGGCAGCGTGTGAAAGGCACGCAGGAATGGAGCGCCAGGGCACAACCCGCGAGCCCGAATCAAGCACGTAGGAAACCGCGCTCTGTTCTTTCACTATCAAAACTCGGTGGCCAGATTCCAAACTCTTCGGTAAAACTCTTCTACGCTGCCGCCTCTCGCTGCGACTGCGCTTCCTGCAGTGAGCTCTACTTTTCCACTACACGCCCACCGAATGCTGCTTCCTCAGGACAGAGGTCCCCATCAAGCACCGCTCGGCTGCTCTTAACTGCACTTTAGAAGTCAGCTGTTTTTTTTAATACTATATTAAAAATAAAAAAAAGTCAAACCAAATAAAATGCAAAGATTCATTGCAGAAATTCCACTTGCCACATACAAATCTATTAGCCATAGGATAATGTCACTGCAACAAGAACTGAAAACGTTCCTACCAAATCCAGTCTGGAAAATTAAGATTTCTTTTCTTCATTAGGTGTTCAGATACAGCCTTTCTCTCCAGCTCCCTTCAGCTGTCATATAAGCATGCTAGAGAAGTTTAACCCGAATCAAAAGAACACCTTTCTCCTATCCATTGTCAAGATCATTCCTCTAATTCAAAATCATGGTTTCAACCAAGTGTTTCATGACATCATTGTGGCATTTTCCTTACAGAAACGGAAGCTCCGCAGAGCCTTTTATGAAGGACTTCAAGTCGTACACAGCGGACCAAATAGCTACTGTGTTTGAAGTAGCAAAGGCTCCGCAAGAAAAGCAGAAAGGCTTTGCATCCTATTAGACCATCACTCTGTTTCAAGGAGCTTATTTTCCACACCCCAATCATTTCATGGTTCAACTGTTAAAACTTTTTTTTGTGCTAAATCTCCTCGAAATATCTTTGGGCAAGATGTCAACTGCTATAACCGTGTGTTACAACAGGTACCGCTTCTTTGATTTCTCCAGTAGCTTCCAGCCTTTCACCAAATCGAACCCCACCCATTGTCACCTCCACAGTCACCTTTTTCCACGTTGCCCTGCACTTGGAATATCCCACTAAATAACAATTAAGTGTCTTCTGTACTTTTTTTGTAAAAAAATCCTTCCCACTGAGTATTTCGCTGCTGCAGGCCATTATTGATGCATTCCTTATCTAAGCCCTTGTCACAGATTTTGTCAATACTGCAAAGTCGATAGGTACAGATCATGGTCTTACACAGTTATCTGGCATAAAGACACACAATAACGTAAAAACAGTCACATATCCTTTTGCCTACAATGCTCAGGCACGATGGAGTAGAATGTAGATTTCATGAAAGTTTGAGGTAATTTTTTTAAATAGAATGCAAATAGTAGTGATGAGAATAGAATAAAGATTAGATAATTAATTTTGTGCTTCTAGGGCTAGGCTAGCTTATCTAACTATTGCATAATTTTGCAAAGTTGTTAGCTGTTGGCAACAGCATCTCATGACAGAAATGAAACGGATTGACAAGTAAAAACTCCAGCAAAAAAGTAATCCTACCTTCGTCTCCTTCTGGCGCATAGGAAGCTGTAATGATGTCAATGTCAGCACAGTTCATCACAATTTGGTTGGTTGCCTGTTTCACCTGGAAGAGAAATTTTATGAGCATCAGGAAGAAATTGTGTTCCCTACCCCCTTGAGCTCCCTCCGGTAGGCGTTCCCACCTCCCTTTAATCTAAAAACCCCTCCACCATCAAGCCTTTAAAATAGAATTTAGTGCTTGAAATAAAATATAGCGATCACAAGTAGTAAGAAAGAGAAAGATATTCCACTGACTGCTCTCATTTGTTTCCAAACAAGCATGCTTGCATCATGTTCAAGCCATCTAGACCTACTTATCAACACTGTAAATTATTTAAGGGAATGGACTGCCTGTTAAAAATTGGTATGAAAGCTTGACAATAGGGCCCTTGTACATGCCTGGCAATCCGAGACCAATAAAAATAGATAGAGAGCCTGTCAGCTTCCTTTTAGACATGACCTACAGAGGACTATAGTACAAGCTTTTGAACACAAACTTAGACCTTTCAGAGATGATCAGAAATACAACCTACGGTACTGTGTTCTAAACTGTTGACACTGTAAGAACTTCTTAGGTTAAAAACATCTGCCAAGAAACTCGCCGTTACATTTTCCTGAAAACTTTCCTTCTGCCAGCTCTTGGCTACACACGCTTTGCTTTATTTAACAAGTGGCCAGCTCCCAGCACAGTAATAAACTGTCTTACTGTGCCAGCTTTCTATTTGGATGTAAGAGCGTGAATACAGAGGAATTCAAATTAAATATCAATTAATTACAAAGCGGTAAAATATTTGGGAATTAAACTAGGAATTATTTAGAAACTCGTGGCTGAAACCACTAGAATCATTACACTGGATCGAGCTGGTAACCCTGCTAGTCCGGGACACAATTCCTAGCAGTAGACAATGCCAGTTCTTTAAATGAAAGAGCAAGAAGTTCTGTAACTGCCAGCTAGAGTTTAACGTATGCATCAAGTAACTGCTTCTTACCCCAGGCAGTGAGTTCCTTAAAGCATAAGGACTTGTATCCCTTTTCCTGATTTTTCACTATTATAACCTTAAAATGCCCTATCAACACCTGTACCAGTCACTTTGGCCAGCCACACTGGAACACAGCAGAAACCAACTGGACCTCCTTCTGGTGGAAACTGGTTCCCATGAACCAAGAGCTCCTTTGCCCCTCTGGCAACATCAGTAAAGCACGCTGCATGTGCAAACCCGCTCACCATTCAAGCATCTGAGTGTAAACACATTTATTACAAGTAAAGTTGAAATAATGAGCTGAAGTGTCACAGTTGAAGCAAACACTTATCACTGCCATAAAGGAGCTGGTGTCTACGCAAGATGAGTAAACGGAAGCAGATATTCAGTCTTAAGCTGTTCTACCTAGGCTCGCTGAAGGAATGGTTCCTTAGTCACTGCGTACATAAAAAGCCAAATTCTAGTCCAGTCAGTGATGAGAGGCTTAAGAAATTTAAATGTATAACTTAACAGGCACGCCCACATCATAAGAACGGCCCATCTAGTCCAATAACCTGTGAACCAAAGGGCTAACATCGGATACTCCAAGGAAAGCCAACCCCCACTGTGGACCGTTAACACAAGACAAACCTAACTCAGAAGTTTCTTTCTAACCTCAGTCACCAACTCTGCTTCTGAGGCAAATGTCTATGGCTTATTCCTATTAACAGAATTGTTCATGTAATAAATATCATGTAAGGGCTTACACTTTTTGACAGCGTAACTATTAGTGAATCTTTCCAAATCCTGCTTGTCAGGCACCCGGCAGTAGAGTGTCGTACAGAACGGCGCAGAAGAGCTGTGTTGTGCTACCTAATAAACTTCACCTGATCCTAAAAACAACATGCTTACAAAGCATAAAACTAGCAAACGTAACAGCTGAAGTGACACAGGTTAGATTTGATGCTTCCAGTAAAGATTTACAATCTGGAATTTTCCAGTTCGGTGTGCATGAAACTAATGGATTCCAACACCTCCCAAAATCCAAGATCATCACCCAATAATTTTCATCACGATATTACAGTTTGGGGTTTTTCAAGGTCTTCTAAAAGACAGAAAATTCAGAATGAGAACAGCTTTTTATAAATGTCTAGTAAGGACCTTTATTGAATCTACAAATCCAAATCTCTCTGGATTAAGAATTCAAGATGCAAAAAGGGCTGTCCAAACTGCAGACAATACTGGGTTTAACAATAGGCTTGATCTTTAAAAACAACCTCTTCTGAGGACAGAAGAATTGTCAACGTAGCACTGTGCCTGCAAAATAAGAAAGTTTAAGTTTCAGCAAAGAGAACTTCAGAGGCTTCTTAGAAAGGCAATTACCTATTTTTAGATTTTTTTCTAACCTCCTACAAATATCAAACCAGTTTTACAACAAAATGCAACCTACTGGAAAACACTTAAAGGGATTGAGTGAACTAGTAGCTTAAAAAAACATTTACCCTCCAACTCCCAAAAAAATGAAGGGCAGAAGTCAGCGTGCAGGTATGAATACTGACAGTGTACAGCACACTTCTGAGGCTCTCATAGTTTAATTCAGGGAGGTGAAAAAAGTTTTCATGCTGGCACACAGCCTCTAGCATGAAAGCCTCCTCCCTCTGATCCACTAAAAATAACGAAGGACAGACACACCTGTAAGAACAAACCCAAACCAAAACTATAAACCACCCAGCATACTTAACTTACAACCACTTTATCTCACAAGCACCTACAGCCTAATGCTTACAGACACCACGTACAGCATGGAGATGAATGAAGGTGTTTTACTGTAAGTGACACCTTGAAACCGCTTTTACATTTCTGCCAACACTATGTTTTGGAAGACAGATCTTCTGCTCATGCAGTGCTTCTCGTGAATGCAATCGTATTAAAAGGCAAAAAAAGCATCTCACTGCATCAGGTATAACCAATTACAAAGCTGTACATGTGCGAACTGTCACCCTGCTTCACCTTGCTCTACAGTATAATAAATTCACTCTTCAACAAGAGGAGGCTAATCAAGGCGAGAGCAAGCTACCAGTGCCCGCAATGAAAGTAGTTTTGCCGTAAGGCCAACACGCTTGAAAGCGGCAGATGAACCAAGACCAATATGTGGAACGAAGGAATGTTTCAAAACTTTAAACCTGTTGCTTTTGATGGCACTCTAGTAAGATTAATCACAAGTCAAACACCTCCTGAGATTAGCCAGACATACATACCACCAGCAGGTCTGCCTTGCAATAACACTGCAGACCTTTAAGACGTTTTAACTTCCCAGCCCCCCGCACATCCCCATTCGTCCTCGCACTTGTTTCTAGGAAGGAAAATCTCACCCTATAGGAGATAACAGCTTAAGTTCCCCCCAGGGTAACATCATTTGATGGAAGAAGAGCTAAAAAGGTTAATTATTTCATTTTGAAAATGAAGATATTTCCAAAACTCTGCCAAACAGGACTTGAAGACGCTGTAAAGCTTTTGCTTTTCACCAATTACCAGAGCAGGAAAGGACTTGATGGCAAAACCTTTTCAGGACATTAGAAACCAGAATTTGAATGGCTTCAGTGGAATGCCAGCCTACCCGAAATACAGGATGAGGTGCACCAAAAGACACCTTCTATAGTCAAAACTAATTCTCTAAAGCCATTCATAAGACAACTAAAATCTTGTCACTTGCTTCAGAGGCCTTTTCTAAATGCAGCATTATAACAAGCGTGTCTGTTTTTAGCATTTTACTCTTTAAATATAAACAACTAAAATCACTTCTGTTCTGCTCTAGCATGTATATTTTTAAGAAATTCAAACTTCAATGAGAAAAGGAATAAAAAGTTTAATTCATCTTCATCTCAAGCAAATTATGGTAGCCAAGTAGCAAAATTACCAACACCACCACTAACTGGCCTACTGGAAAAATTCACTTCATTCCAAAGAGCATCTAATTACATTCATCTCCAGCAGTCACACGCACTCCAGAAGTGTCAAATCCACACAGACAAGTAAATCCCTTCACAACTACGATCAACGCAATCATCTTAGCCTTCTGAATCACAGAACTGAAAGCGGCCTTTCTGGGGGGGACAAGAGCAAAGGCATTCCTATTTTTGAAGCTGGTGGCGTAAGGGTCCACAGAACCCCGAGGTCCTGACTTCGAAGCACCAGACTTGAACACTCAGCATGGTACCTTTAACACTCAAACTCAGATCTAATTTCATATGCCGGAAATGTAAATTACAATGCTGGATAACATGACCACAAATTTATACTAGACAACTTCCCCCCCTCCCCAGCAGATACTGAGCATAAATACTACACCCATTAAACTTAATTTTTCAAGGTTCACATACAAGAGTGTCACAATTAATCTTTAACTGGCATGCAGCAGGATCAGAAGACTACACATTCTTTAGTCTAGCAAATACTGCATAATTAACCTATAAAAAGCAACAGATACAGGTTAAACATTGCTAAATAGAACAGAGTATCCTTAAGACATGTTAAAGGGACTGGGAAAGACATTTAAAAGAGCCATCTACCTCAGGTTGTAAATTCTTTCAAGTAAAGACAGGTTGGTTTGCAACCAAGAAACACCTCACCGTAGTTTCCAGTTTAAGGCATGAATCACTGCACAACACCCTCCAAAGAAGGCAGTTTATGGCGAGGTGAACGCCAGCAAGTCAGGAGACAAGCACGCACCTTTCTGCAGCTCTGCCCCACTACACCCCGCGCCGGACAGGTGATCGCTTGGAGCCGGGACAGCGTTAAGGATTTCCATTTAGAAGCTTAGAACAACCATTGAACTTTGGAAGCCAGATGCTTGTTTCTGTGGCTGGTTACTCATGTTTGCCTGTTCAGCACGATGCTGAAGAACACAAGGGCAGCACATCCCCTCTTTGTTCCAGCCCTCGGTTACGCCTCCCAGGAGTCAAAAGCAGAACAGAAAAAAGTTGACCTAGCCACGGAGCAATACGAGTGCACTGCACTGATAACTAGACCCTGAGAATCAGGGATACAGTAATTAAATCTCGAGCTAACAGACGAATAAAATAGATGATGTATTTCCACAAAAAAAAAAAAAATCTTAATTGTGCTCATGCAGAAACACCCCTACACACCCAACAAATCAACAGTTTAAAGTGCCAAAAGACGACATAATGACAGCGTGATCACAGGATTGCAAGCAGGCGACTATTTCAGCTCCAGATCTGCTATCCACATGCAGTCTCCAGTTCTCCCACAACCATGCTTTGTCCTAGCTGTGATAAGGGTTCCTTGTAAAATAGTTCATTTAAGGATTTTTGGTTTATTAACTGTGATAATGGTAATTACATACTGTCCGTGTATATAATAGTTACACAATTCTACAGACTTCAAAAATATTCATATGACCACAAATTGCATTATGTAAAAATCTCGAGTAACCAGACAAAAGTTAATATACAGGTTACCAGATACTTAAGAAGCGCAGCTTCAAAAGGCTGCGAAATTAAACTCTCAAGAGACGGCTTTCAGTATTGTTCCTTTATCAAGACAAAGCACCAATTCCCTAACCTGAAAACTTGAAGTGCCACAACAAACTACAAACACGTACCATTTCTTTTTAAGGCTTTGAAATCAACCTGGTCCCTGCTGACACTGAAGCAACAGCCTTATCTTCTGAATCATAAAAGGCTTTATCCTCTGATGGTTATTTGAAGGAGCCATATAAGTGTAACATTTATTATTGTGGCATAAAGACAAAATGTGTTGTTAAGTTTTTTATATGTACAAAAGCCAACGTAAGAGTACTGCCCCAAAGCCAAGACTGGAAGGTTACTTAACACTTCTTTAGAGCTTGGTGCTCAAGTGGAAAGACTTACCAAAATTCTACACAGAGGGCTGCCAAATCCTACTGAATGGCCATGAGTGAGAAACACAAACTGACTGATACAGTGTCTACTTGTAACGTCCTGACTAAACAGCACAGCCTTCACTAATTCCAGTTTGCTATTAAAGATGCAAAACAACAAAGCAAACAAACACTTTTGATGTGCGTAACGAAAAGTTTTCCCAATTTTGTGATTAATCATGATTGATTCTGGTGTCACAGTTTCAGTACTCACCCCGCAGGTCAGAAACCATCACTGGTTTAAGTACTTGACGTGGATTACTGCTTATCCAGCCATTATCATACCAGAATGGAGCAGAGGGACTAAGAATTATTCTTCATTGGTTATAAAAAATGATACCTGGATCTTCAAGAGGAGGCAGTGTATGTATTTCCCTACCCAAAATCTGAAAAAATCAAAATTTGTGTCTTAACATAAAATGACTTTCACCTTGACGACCATACAATATATGCCAAAGCTCTCCAGTATGCTGAAAACAGAACACCTCCGCTGAGCTCCACTCCACCTTAGTACGAGGTGCTAGCAGAAACGGCCAACAGGTCCTTCACTGAACCAGGTAGATCCAAAAGCACACAAAGGATTTTTCATTTTCTAGATTGAACCCCAGCTCAATAACAAACAACTAGTAAATGTTAGCATATTCTTAAGTAAGCCATTCCCTTGTACAAAAGGTATCCTGTCCACCCAGTACTGCAGGTGAGCTGGTTGCTCTTCCCTCCATCAAGGTGCAGAATTAGTTACCCTCTAATCTTCTGGAATGTGCCTTTACCGTGCTTTGGATGCTGGCAGCCACAGCAAACTTCTCCAGGTTTCTAACTCGAGACAAGCACGCGAGCACTCACCCTGTACTTACTTGCATACAGCTGGGATGTGGCCTCATGATTCTTCGGTCTATGGTTGTTAAAAGTTATTTAAAAATAAAATACTTGCAATATGTTTTAAAAACCTCAACCTATATTTCTTAAACTCTCTCTATGGTGGGAACATCAGATCGGCTCATCATGCTGCTGAACAAGAGTTTCTAACAACCTTGAACCTGCCAGATCAGTGTTCTTCCTTAACGCATGCCCTCAGCTGGCAGGAAAGTCCGGGATTTCGCACTGTCAGGTGGCATCCATTGCTCTAGGAACGCATTGAGCAATCCCCCGAATGGCAAAACAGTATTAAAAATATCTCAACGGGACTAAAATCTGCAAACCAATGACCATCTCCACAGAAAGCCTCCAAATCCTCCTTATTCCTGGATTTAAACTAAGTTTCCAAGGCTGCTGCTCAATACTACTCTCTTCTCAGTGGCAATGCTGGCTTAAAAAGCCACTACTCCCCTCCCCCCGAGTGTTATTTTTAACCTGGATGATTTCAGTGATCCCATTTACAGCACAGCCCCACAGCTGTAACAGGACTGAGCAGCAACTTGGGTGCAAAGACAGGAATAGGCGGCTAGGATTAAGACGGAAGAGATTGGGAATTTCTCAAGCTAGCATTTTCACCCAGGCTGATGCACCGTCAAACCGGGACCCCCAAAGACAGCAGCGGCCCGAGGACTCGAGCTAGAACAAACTCGGCAAGGCGATTTACATTTTCAGTGTTTCTTCCACATGACACAAACTTACTCATCTCTGGTTGTGTTCCTCCAAGTCCCAAAAGTCACAAGATTCACTATCATCCACAGCTTTCTGCCCTCCCCAGCTTCCACAGACACCAGACACTTGCCCAGCGAGGCACTCGCTCTCTTCTGCACTCGTGCTTCAGATTCTGCAGTTTTGTTATCCCAACGCTACCTCATTCTAAAACAAGGTTTTAAACCACCTCTTTAGACCAAGATTTAAATCTGTACCCAACTCAGGATGTAAAGTCTCTCTCAAATATTTTTCAGCTCTCGATACAGTCATCTCATTTTAAGGAAAAGTCGGGTAAGCCCTTACAATTCTGTATCTACTTCAAACCATCGCACGAGGAAAGACATGAAAGCAAATCTAGGAAATCTTGGCACGGCAGCCTGAGAATGACTATGAGACTTCAGGGCTTTCATCACACATTCTGGCTTTGAAGCATGAACGCCGGGAAGGTTTTGCCTTTCAGAAGAGGCAGAAGACCCAGCTTTTTCACTTTGCACACCCCTTCCCACTCTTAACCGAGCCTCTCGCTTCACTGACTTCAAGCTTTTTCATGACGCTGAGGCC